GGAGATCAATAGAGAGATGAGAGAGACATTGTTTTCTCTTAAGGAACTGAGGGGCTCTGTAGATTGCAGGGGCTTGTAAGTGCAAACTCTGCAGTGCAGGGGCAGATCCAGAGTCCACACTGCAGCAAGTCCGAAGGCGCCGCAGGCGGAGCTCCTTCCTCAGAAGACCGCAGGCTTTGCTCTTAGGGCCCACCCACGTTATGGAGGATAACCCGCGGCATTCAAAGTCTACAGATTGAACTGTTAATCAGCTCTAAAAAACAGCCTCACAGAAACAGCCTGACTGGTGTCTGAACAAAAACTGAGTACCGCGGCTAGCCAAGATGGTTCATAAAATGAAACGCCACACTCGCTCCTTATTTACTGGCATCAGGCTGTCATCCGGGGGACAATCACTGTTCACCAACAAGGGCTTCGCTCCTTCGCTTGGTCCATCTCCTGCTCAGGCCGGAATGTGGACACTGACAACCCGGGGCTTGCAGAGGCTCCGCCAGTCAGCAGCGATTACTCCGGCGGTTCAGAGGAGGCCGTGCCCACCGCCCTGAGGTGGGAAGAGCAACGGAGCTGACGGAGCCTGTGCCTCGGTCCAACCACCGCGTCCGTCTACTCGGCGGGGCCGCTTTCTCTGGGGACACTGACGTCCTCTGCTTGCCCTGGAAAGGGGAGCCGAAGTCCCCTCGGGAAGATGGAGCAGGGGCGCTGGGAACCAGGCCTGCTCAGGGACCTGGGCACTTCCTCTCAGGCTCTGGAGCCTGAAAAATGAGCTTGCCCCGGGGGCGACCCCGGAGAGGCCAGCAGCCCCGTCTCGGGTGCGGTCCCCTAATGTCTGCTTGCCCCTCCCTGCGCCACCGTGCCCGCGGTCACCGTGGCCCTTCCCCGACCCCACCCAGGGCCCGGACTCACGGCAGCCCCTCTGCGCCCTCCCCCGGGTTGTCCCGCGCTCGGAGCGTCGATCCCGGGACCCCGCACGTGGGCGTCAGGCCCGGAAGGCGCGTCCCGCGGCCGCAGGGGGGGCTGGCGGCCCGGCTTCGGCCGGTGAGCTCCCCCCGCTCCGCCCCCCACTCTGCTTCCCGCACCCCAGTTCCAGCTTCCAGCCTCGGCCGCGACTCCCGGTCGGCCGTTCCGGGCGCCCACCGGCCCGCGCGTCCCGGGAGCGCCGCAGGCACGAGACGAGCGGAGCCAAGAGCCCCCGGGCGGCCCTTCCGGACCCGCGGCCGCCCCCGCGAGCGCCTCCCCCTGGCGGGCCCGGGGGGAGGCCGGGCACGGCGACGTGGCTGACCCACAAAGCCCCCGGCCCGGCGGTCAGGCCTGGGCGCGCGCGGCGCGGGGCGGGCCGGGGGTGTCGGGTGTCACCCCCAGCGCACACCTCGGCCGAGGGGCGGGGGAGCGAACCACTGAGATGCGGAGACCTCCCCGGTCCTAGAGCGGAGCAGGAAGTGTCCCAGGGGAGGGAGCCCGAGGGCTCCGGCCTTTCCTTCCCGCGGCGTCCGGCGGGCTCCGGCGGCGAACGGCCTGCGCGCCCGCCAACAGGGACGCGCGGCGGCGGTGAGTGCGCCCGGGCCCGGCCGGCCCCGCCCCGCCCTCCCGGCCCGGACCCGGCGCTCGGGAAGCTGCGGGCGGCGGCCAGAGCAGCACGATTGTTTTTCAGGCGCCTCCATCTGCCCCCGAGCCGAGCGCGGCTTTCCGGATGAGCGAGAGACGCGGTGTGGACGCGCCGGGAGAGGAGCCGGGCGCCGGCGGAGACCCCGCCTCAGCAAGTCCGCCCGGCAGGGCGCGCGGGGAGGATGCGGAGGGCTGCGCTGGACTTCCGCCGCCGCGGGGGGGCTTTCGGCCGGGCGCCGCGAGGGAGCCGGAGGCTGTGAGGTGAGGAGCGGGGCCGGCGGCGCGCGGGAGGGGGCGGAGCGCGGGGCCCTTCCCCGGCTGCCGCGGCCCGCTCGCCCTCCGCCGGCCCGCCCGTCCCTCCTCCGCCCAGCGGGGCCCTGCTCCGCCCCGCTAACGTGAGTTCATTCATCAGGCGTCTCCTCCGGCCTCCCACGCGCCAGGTGCCGCGGTGACAAAGACGGACGCGGCCGTCTGGTCGGAGACGACCCGAGCGGGAGCTGGCGGCCGGGCGGGCGCCGGTTCGCGGGGGGCGGCCGCGAGCGGTCCCGGGCGCCGCAGGTGTGTCATGGGCGCCGCGGGGGCCGCCGAGCTGGGCGGGCGGGCCGGAGCCTCCCGGGAAGCGAACCCGAGGAGGGGAGCGCGGCGAGGCGTCCAGCCCGCCGCCCCCACACGCGTTTCTGCACAGGCTGTCACTCCGGAAAGCAGAGATGCCGGGGAGTGGGTTTTTCCGGAGCCACTCGGTTGTGTGGCAGCTCTTCTGGCATCACCTGCCTTCCTGTGACATGGGCGTGAGGCCCGTGCCCCCTTCCCGCCCGTGAGCCGTTGGAGGCTGAGACCCGCCACGCCGGACACCCTCATGCGCGTGGGGGACTGGCAGGCTCCTGGCAGTGCCCGAGGATCACGGAGGCCCGATGGCAGAGAAGGGCACCGTGAGTGTCCGCAGGTGCCTGTCCCGGCCCCGTGTTCTCAGTGGGGACCGTGGGCACCAGCCAGGCACACTGGGCGCCGATCTTTAGCCACCCTGCGTGTGTCGGCCAGCGGTCTGCACGGCAGCCGGGATGTGTGCGCCTCCCTGAGCCCCACCGTGGGGCCGTGGTAGCTGCAGTGTCTGGGGGTTCGATGAGGGCTGAGCTAGGCGCTGACCGACCCGCTCTTAAAGAAGGGTGTGCCATTGCCTGGAATGTGGTTTGAGGACGGCAAGAGAAGAGCAGAGAGTGGAGGCGAGGTTGAAGGTCAAGACATCTAAGTATGCGATGAAGGTGTAGGTGTTCTGAGATGCCCCAGAGAGTTGGCGGAAGGCTTACCTGAAACCAGCGAGATTTCTAAGTGCCGTGTTGTGCCTCTCTGGTAAACTGCATGTGGCTGCCTCATGTGATTTCCCCGTCTCTGGGTGTGTTCTTACCTGTGCTTCACCCCCCTGCCTCCCATAGCAGGCTCTGCTGGGCAAACGTGATTCCGGCTGGGTCTTCCATCAGCCCTCCACCACCAGCAGGGCGGATTTTCTATTCCTGGATGTGCTTTTGAAGGCTCATCCAGTGCATGTCTGTCTTTGTCTTCCCAGCTCTATTTGTAAAGGTCTTAAGAGCAAGAACAGTGACTTCAGCTTCAAACCTTCAAGATAGTGGCCTGCTTGGCCTGCCCATCTCGGGTCTCTCCAGGAGGACCCAGCCACTCAAGGTACCAGAGTCTTGATTACATCTGCATGTGGCGCTGTTGGTTTCCTGGGATGCTCAAAACACCAGTGTCACGTTGAAATGCCACCACTTTTCTCCCAGATTTCCAGCCTTGTTCACCCAGTCACTGACTTACGGGAATCCACACTTAATGGTACTGTCGGGGGTGGGGGAGGGGAGGGCACCTTTCTTTCTGTTTCATCCTGTGTGTAAAGCCCAGCCACACCAACACTCCCTGCATTTCCCAGGGCTTCTCCAAAGGGCTGGTATCTGAGGGCGTTGACAGTTTCCTTGTCACTATCCCCCAGAAACGACCGCAGGAGACCAGAACACTGAAGCCAGTGATTTCTGTTTGGAAATAGGGTCGTCTTCTGCCGCTGACCCCCATCAAATCCCATCATGCCCACAGCCCTGTGCCCCCGAGTCTTGGCTCCAAAGGAAAGTGAGGAGCCCAGGAAAATGAGGAGCCCACCGGGAGAGAACCCTAGCCCCCAGGGGGAGCTTCCCAGCCCCGAATCCTCTCGGCGCCTCTTCCGCCGTTTCCGCTACCAGGAGGCGGCGGGCCCCCGGGAGGCCCTGCAACGCCTCTGGGACCTGTGCCGCGGCTGGCTGCGGCCAGAGAGGCACACCAAGGAGCAGATTCTGGAGCTGCTGGTGCTGGAGCAGTTCCTGGCCATCCTGCCCCGGGAGATCCAGAGCTGGGTGCGGGCCCAGGAGCCTGAGAGCGGGGAGCAGGCTGTGGCCGCAGTGGAGGCACTGGAACGGGAGCCGGGGAGACCCTGGCAGTGGGTGAGTAGAAGGTGTGGGGCTGGCACCGGGAGACAGCTGGTGCTCAGACACTTTGGCTGGGCCATGCATCTGCATGGGAGCAAGGAGTTCCATCTAGAGCCATGTACTTTGGTTAGGCCCAGATTAGAGTTTCCTAAGAAAGCAAGTTTTACTCCCTGAAGGCTCTAATTTGGGCGTGGTAGTGTCATCCCCCTTTATTGCCCAGTCCAAGGCCTAAGTTGAGCCTTTGGTGGTCCACTGTGGAGTGGATCGTCACCAGACCCAGGGAGAGATGGGACCTCTTCACCTAGCCCTGAAAAGCTCTCTTTGGGATTACAGCTCAAGCACTGCGAAGACCCTGTGGTGATTGATGATGGAGACAGCCCTCTGGACCAGGAGCAGGAACAGCTGCCGATAGAGCCCCACAGCGACCTTGCAAAGAGCCAGGATGCCCAGCCCATGGCCCTGGCACAGTGCCTGGGGCTCCCAGGCAGACCACCAACCCAACTCAGCGGGGACGCAGGTATGCAGCCCAGGGGTGTGTAGGAGGGGTAGTCTGGGGGAGTGCATACCCCATAAACCACACTGGGTGTGGTTTTTGTTAAGCTGATGGCTTTTACATCAGCAGTTTTCTCCTATCTGTGAGCTGTTGCCAAGGTCTGAGTCCCTTCCTAGAGCGATTAAATGAGAACCTCATCAGCATGTTTGTCCTCTTCTGGGTTCTGGATCCTCTCAGAGGGAACTCTTCTGTAGTAGATGTTGTGAGGTTGTGCCCTCTCATCTCTTTGAGGGTGCATCTCTTCAGGATCTGTCAGCTGGATGACAGCTAGGGCCTGCCAGTGTACAGCTAGGGCTTGCTGCATGAACTGAGCATGGCCATCTCTTCTTGTCTCTTGGAACCTGTTTCCTTGGCTAAACAACTCCTGTCTACAGAATCATTGTGGTGCTGCAAAGAGATAGAAAAATATTTTGGAGGACATAGGGTGGAATCTACTGTGTGGGGCCAGAACATCAGCTAGACTTGGTTTGAGTATGTATACAAAGTACATGGTGGCTACAGGAAGGTAGTTTTGTCGTCAGATAAACTTAGAGCTGAATCTTTGGGTATGACCTGAGACATACTTCTAAACTCTGAAAGCCTTGGTTTCTTCCTCTGTCCAACAGAGATGGTAATTACCCTTTCTGGGGTTTTTGGAAGATTAAATGAGGTACAACCTGTAAAAGGTTGAGCGCAACTTCTGAGGTGCCCAAAATTTAACTTGAAGTACTTGTCATGGGAGACTGGGGCCCTTGGGTTGAAGGAAGTTGGGCACATGGGTTCCTTTTGCCGCAGTGCTCTGTAGGTACAATGGAAAAAAAGTGTCTGGGGGGCCAGGGGTGCTTTCTGATGATTTACAGAAGTCATGTTTGGCGTTATGGGAAACTTTTCAGTAGTAAAACCAAAATGCCTATTAAATTTCTCTGTGTGGAAAAACTATGGTGACTTCTGTACAAATCACATAAACTCTTCTGCCTCTTCTTGCTAAAAGTCAAGATTGGTGTAATATTTGCTACCATAGCAAAGTACCACAGACTGGATGGCTTATATAACAGCAATGTATTCTCTCACAGTTCAGGAGGCTGGAAGTCTGAAGCCAAAATATCAGCAACCTTGGGTTCTTCAGAAGGCTCTCTCCTTGGCTTGTAGACAGGTCTGATGTTAACACTAAGAGAAGTTTGCAGATAGACATTTAGAAGGAGCTAGGGGCCAGGCGTGGTGGCTTATCCCTGTAATCCCAGCATTTTGGGAGGCTGAGGTGGGCAGATCACCTGAGGTCAGGAGTTTGAAACCAGCCTGGCCAACATGGTGAAACCCCATCTCTGTTAAAAATACAAAATTAGTCATGTGTGGTGGGGGGGTGCCTGTAATTACAGCTACTTGGGAGGCTGAGGCAGGAGAATCGTTTGAACCCAGGAGACGGAGGTTGCAGTGAGCTGAGATCACGTCATTGCACTCCAGCCTGGGAAAAAACAGTGAAACTCCGTCTCAAAAAAGAAAAAAAGAAGGAGCTAGGAGGGGAAATCTTTTATGCCACTGGCTGTCCTTGGGACCCGTAAAAACCTGTTAATAACCAGCCCTGAAAGCTGACAACAAGCTTTGTGCCAGGACTCTGGATGATGGGCAGTTTTCTTTCAGGGAAAGGAAGAAGAAGATGTTTACACTAAAAGTTTGCAGAGCAGTTGTAATAGACACTGTCTCTCTCTGGGTATCTTTACATGGTCTTTCCTCTGTGTGTGTCTGTGTCTTGATCTCCTCTTATAAGTACACCGGTCATATTGGATTAGGGTCCACCAGTATGGCCTGCTTTTCTCTTAATTACCTCTTTAAAGACTGTCTGCAAATACAGTCACATTCTGAGGAACCTAAGGATTAGGGCTTCAACATAGGAATTTGAGAGGGGCATAACCTAGCCCCATAACAGGCATAAAGGAAGCAGCCAGTCGCCCACATCAGCAATGCACGTGCAAGTAGCTTGGGTTATGCAGGAAGTGGGGGGCTGTGAGAGGCCTTGTAATGGGGTCTGGGAAGGCACAGTGGAGGAGGGGAAGGAGTTTCAGGAACCACAACAGCCTGTGCAGTTGCTTCTTGATAAAGTTCTGAGGTAAGCCAGCAACACAGGTGGGCTTTGGGATAACAGGGCCAGCTGTCCCATTTCCATGAGCAATAATGAGTAGGCAAAGTAGATGTGATGTGAGTTAGCAGTCAGGAAAACCTTAACTATTAGGACAGTTTCCAACTGGAATGCACTACCCGTCAGAGCTGTATAGTTCCTCATCTTGAAGGTCTTCCCCAAAAGCTAGATTCTGTGTAGGGCTGCAACTCTCTGAAGTGATTCTTGAAGGAGTCCATGTATTCATTTATCAGGGCCAGAAGTAGGGCGGGGCTATGTATTCATACATGTACACATATCTAGGATGTCTACATGTCCCAGAAGGTGGCAGGTGTGAGGGAGCAGAATTAAAACACCACCTCCCAGCCAGGCTCAGCACCTCTCACCTGTGCTTCCAGCTATGCAGGGGGCTAAAGCCGAAGAATCGCTTGAGGCCAGGAGTTTGAGACCAACCTGGGCAACATATTGAGGACCCACCTCTAAAAAATGAAATACCCCCTCTAGGAGATGTTGGTCAAAGAGTACATTAGATAAGATGAATAAATTCTGGAGATCTGTGGTACAGCATAGTGATGGTGATTAAAAACAGTGCATCTTATACTTGAAAATTGCTAAGAACGTAAATAAGAAATGTTCTCATCACAAAAATATATGAAGTGTAGGTTTGTTAATCATTTCACAATGTATACTTATATTGTAGGGTTTTTATAACCAAAATACATACAGTTTTTGTCAGTTATACCTCAATAAAACTGGGAGGTAAAAGGAAGTTAAATAAAGATGAAGATAGAAACTTAAAATAGAACATATACACAAGAAATACCACCTCCTCAAATCTACACCCATCCAGCCTGAGCTTCCCTTCGGACACTGGGAAGAGGCTGTCTTGCACTGAGACCCCTAGAATGGCACTGCCATCTGCGTGGGTTCCTGCCCCAGGCCTTAGCTCCACATAGCCACTCCTGCAGCTGCCGTTCCTGAAGGCTTTGTATCCAGGTCTGAAAGGTCCCAGACACTGGCTTCTGGGGTTTGCTTTGGCAATGACTTAACATGTGACCTAGCATTAACCAGTAGACTGTAGCACAGCTCTCCAAGTCTTACTCTGAGAAAGGAGTACCTTTTGAAACACAGAGCTCATTTTTACATGGCTGCACTGTTGGCAGGGGATGTGGCTCATTGCAGAAGCCTAAGCAAGGTGTAGTTTCCAATCACAGGACAGAAAGTGGCAGAGTCCCTGGTAGGCTGGTGAGATGGTCCCAAAGCCACACTCAGCACTTTGTATGAGGGTCTTTAGGGTACTGTGCCAAATGCTTTTTCACAGTGCGTACAGTGATGACAGTTTTTCTTTTTTGTTTAATTTCTGTTTTGAGATTGACAAAAAATTGTATGTATTTACGGGGTGCAGTGTGATGCTTTGATATCTATACACATTGTGAAATGACTAAATCAAGCTAATTAGCTAGGCATGGTGGCACACCTGTAGTTCAGGAGCCTGAGATGGGAGGATCCCTTGAGCTCAGGAGTTCTATTCCAGCCTAGGCAACATAATGAGACTAGTCTCTTAAAAAAAAATTCAAGCTAATTAATATAATGTGTTACCTCATATACCTATCCTTTTTGTGTGTGTGGTGAAAATACTTCAGATCTACTCTTTAAGCAGTCTTCAAGTACATAGTACATTGTTACTGCCTGTAGTAACCATGTTGTACAATAGGACTCCAGAACTTATTCCTCTCGTGTAATTGAAATTGTGCACCCTTTGGCCAGTGTCCCCCTAGTCCCTCCATTCCCTACCCTCTGGCAACCAGCGCTCTGCTCTCTGCTTCTATGAGTTGAACTTGTTTACAGTCCACATTTAAGTGAGAACATGCAGTATTTCTGTTTCTGTGCCTGGCTTATTGCATGTAGCATGTCCTTCAGGTTCTTCTATGTTGTCACTAATGACAGGATTTTCCTTCTCTTTTATGGAGTTCCACACTAATTCTGATTGCCAACAGCCCTTACCTTTTTTTTTCTTTTGAGACAGAACAGTCGCCCAGGCAGGAGTGCAGTAGTGCAGCTGTGGCTCACTGCAGCCTTGATCTCTCGGGCTCAAGCAATCCTTCTGCTTCAGCTTCCCAGTTTTTTGATTTTTAGTAGAGATGAGGTCTCGCTGTGTTGCCCAGGCTGGTCTTGAACTCCTTAGCTTAAGCAATCCTCCCACCTTGGCTTCTCAAAGTGCTAGGATTACAGGCATGAGCTACCATATCCAGACCCTAACAATCCTTATAGATTCCTCAACTCTGTAGCTTTTTTTTCTTTTTCTGCTTCTTCTTTTTTTTTTTTTTTTTTTCCTTTTTAAGAGAAAAATACTCTCTGTGTTGTCTATGCTGGTCTGGAACTCCTGGGCTCACGTGATTCTCCCACCTCAGTTCCCAGAATAGGATTAGCTAAGATTACAGGCATGCATCACTTCCCACGGCTGAACTCTGTAGAGTTTTAACCTTTATTTTCCCATATTTTGGATAACAGTGCTGAGGTCTGGGTACTTACCCGAAGCGAAAGAGTTAATTTAATTGACCGTGCTTTCATGAACTCAGCCAGGCACACACTTTCAGATGAAAGTTATAGCCACCTTTATTATATCTGAAAACAAAGACGCAGCAATCTTAGTACACTTAGTTACAGAGTGCTTTTCATGTACATCATTTTGTAATCCTCATTTTACAGGTAAGAACAGAGCCTGGGGTTTTATGAAAAGCACCGTGAAATAGCTCCCTCTTGGTGCCTTTCTTGTGTTTTTCTTGGCTACCACAACTGAAATGAAGAGCCCCAGGAAGCTCAGGAGGTGGCACCAGGCCTGGCCCTGGCCCCCTTTGGGACACCCTTTTCTGATTTCTTTCAGTTCTGCAAGATGCTTTCCTTCTTCAGGAAGAGAATGTACGGGACACCCAGCAGGTGGTGACCACCCTGCAGCTACCCCCGGTGAGTGATTTCTACAGGAGTCCTTGAAAATCCCGTGTTTACCTCTCTATAGGCTACAGGGCAGCTTTCCTAGGACCCCAGCCAGCTTTCCAGCTGCCGCACAGGATGTTCAGTCCCGGCCCAGAAAAGCTAAAATAGACAGAGTGTGGGCTTAAGAGACACCCTATTTCTCCACCAGCCCTTCTAGTCCCAGCCGCTCACTAGGTTGACTGTCATCAGGGCACCTTCAGGAAGCTTTGTGCAGACAACAGCAGGAAACAAAGGCCCATGAGTTCCTACTGATGGGCCTCTCCGCATGTCAAAGTTCCCCTCTTGTGAAAAAGGAGGTCTCTCTGCTCTTTTATTTTACAGAGAATTTTTCAAAAAATTTAATAATTGTCACAGCAATAGTTATATGTTAGAAATGTTAGGAAGTAGAGGGAAGAAAGCACAGGTAATTTCAGTCCTGTCACATATCTATGCGGTGAGTCATTCCAGAATTCCCTCAAATGTTCTTGTTTGTGTTTTCGTCTAACACTTGCTTATTCAGGTGCTCTGAGGAGTCGGAGTCGGAGTCAGAATCAGGGCTGGGGGCTGGTCCAGCAGGTGATCTTACTCACCTCTTTCTAGCCCAGTTGCTGCGTTTGGCTGTGCTTTCTGGCCATATCTCCTTCATTTTCCCTCCTGACACTTTCCACTGGCTGGCATGATATTTAGTTCTGGCAACATCATCCCCTCCCATGGGAACAGGAGGTGCAGTTCCTGCTTTTGTTTAGTTGTTCCTTACCCAATAGAAAGAAAACTGTGAAAAACAGTAGACACACTATGATCGTGTCTCAGCAGAATGCAGGAAGCCAAGCAGTCACAGTTCATTCGACATGACTTTATTTTCATTTTTAGAGATAGGGTCTTGCCTTGTCACCTAAACTTCAGTGCAGTGGCACAATCATTGCTCACTGTAGCCTCAAACTCCTGAGCACAAGTGATCCTCCAACTTCAGTCTCCTGAGCATCTGGGACCACAGGTGCATGACACTCCACCCAGCTAAGTTTTGTAATTTTTTGTAGAGACAGGATCTTGCTATGTTGCCCAGGCTAGTTTCAAACTCCTGACCTCAAGTGATCCTCCTGCCTCAGCCTCCCGAAGTGTTGGGATTACAGGCATGAGCCATTGTGCCCGGCTGACATGACTTTGAACTTGGAGAAGGAAGGGCTAAGGATGGGAAAGAGTTAGCCAGGTTACCCAGTTCCATAACTTGCTTTTGCCCCACCAAAGCTGTGGCACACACCCTTGTACTCTGATGCTCAACACATACATGTCAGCATCTATTACGTACTGTGACCATTCCCAAACACAAAGGAGCTAAAACTGGTATTTCTTATTAAAAGTTGGTATCTTTAACCAGAATAACACAAGGGGATGCTGTTAATTCAGTACCTTATGAGGTTTGGTCTTCAGCTTTCAATTCCTGTAGTACCTAGTAAATGCGGCGAGCACAGTACAGAGATTTCGATAAGTCAGTGCTGTTTTATTACTCTGATAGTTTCTGCCCAATGCACTAAAAGTCACCATCATGAATGTCTTGTTTGTGTTTTTAATTTTTAATTTTAATTGTGGTAAAACACATATAGCTTTAAGTATGCAGTTCAGTGGTGTTAAGTACATTTACATTGTTGTACATCCAATCTGTAGAACTTTTTCATCTTCCCAAACTGAAATTCCTTATATATTAAATAATAACTCACCATTTACCCTTCCCCTCAGCCCCTGGCAACCTCCATTCTACTTTTAGTCCCTATTAATGTGACTATAAGTACCTCATATAAGTGGAATTATGCACTGTTTGCCTTTTTGTGACTGGTTTATTTCACTCAGCATAATGTTCTCAGGTTCATCTATGTTGTAGTATGTGTCAGAATTTCCTTCCTTTTTAAGGTTGAATAATACTCCACGTGGTATATATCCCATTTTTATCCATTCATCTGTCGATTGAAATTTGCGTTACCTCCACATTTTGGCTGTTGTGAATAAGGCTGCTATGAACGTGGTACACATAAAGTTTTGTTTTTCTTTTTAAGTTAACTTTATTTTTACATAATTGTTGATTCACATGCCATTATAAGAAATAACACAGAGATCCTGTGAACTTTTTAACACTCAATGGTAAAATACAGAGTAAAAATCTATGCTGTAAAAATCTAGTACAATGTCACACCCAGAATATTGACACTGATACATGCAAGATAGAGTAGCTGCTTCACCAGAAGGATGCCTCCTGCTACCTAATGTCCACACTCATTTCTTCCCTACTCTCACCCACTCTTCAGCCTCTGGCAACCACTGATCTGTTCTTCATCTCTATAGTGTCATTTCAAGAATGTTATATCAATGGATTCATACAGTATGTAAGCTTTGGGGATTGGCTGTTTTAATTCAGCATAATTCTGTGGAGCTTCGTTCAGGTTGTTGCGTGTGTTACTAGTCCGTCACTTTTCGTTGCCAAGTAGTATTCCATGGCATGGAAGTCCAACAGTTTGTTTAACCATTCACGGGTTGAGGAACATCTGGGTTGTTTCCAGTTTGGGGTCATTATTGCATAAAGCTGCTATAAATATTTGCATGCAGGTTTTTATGTGCACATCAGTTTTCATTTCTCTGGGATAAGTGGCCAGGTATGCAGTTGTTGGTAAGTACATATTTAGTTTTAAAAGAAACTACTCTGTCCTTCCCAGAGTGGCCATGTCATTTACATTCCCACCAGCAATGTATGAGTGTATTAGTCTGTTTTTATGCTGCTGATGAAAACATACCTGAGACTGGGCAATTTACAAAAGAAAGAGATTTAATGGACTTACAGTTCCATGTGACTAGGGAGGCCTCACAATCATGGCAGAAAGTGAAAAGCATGTCTCACATGGCAGCAGACAAGAGAGCTTGTGCAGGGAAATTCCCCCTTATAAAACCATCAGATCTTGTGATACTTGCCCACTGTCATGAGAACAGCACAGGAAAGACCTGCCCCCATGATTCAGTTACCTCCCACCTGGTCCTTCCCACAACACATGGGAATTCAAGATGAGATTTGGGTGGGGACACAGCCAAACCATATCAATGAGTAATCTACATTCTCCAAAACTTACCAAGATGTGGTATTGTCTGTTTTTTTTTTTTTATTTTAACCGTTCTTATAGGTGTGCAGTGGTATCTCATTATGGTTTAAATTTGTGTTTCTGTAATGGCTAATAATGTTGAACATCTTTTCATGTGCTTATGTGCCATCTTTATATTCTCTTCTATGAAGTGGCTGGTCATAACTTTTGTCTGTGTTCTAATTGAACCATTTTGCTTTTTTACTGTTGAGTTTTGAGAGATCTTTACAACTTCTAGATACTAGTACTTTAATGGATATGTGTTTGGCAAATATTTTCTCCCACTATGTAGTATTTTTTTGTGGGGGTGGTCAGAGGATGTAATTTGAAAATTTGAAAATTTTTAATCGATATATGGCAGTTGTACATATATATTTTTTTTTTTTTTTTTTGAGATGGAGTTTCGCTCTTGTTACCCAGGCTGGAGTACAATGGCGTGATCTCGGCTCACCGCAACCTCTGCCTCCTGGATTCAGGCAATTCTCCTGCCTCAGCCTCCTGAGTAGCTGGGATTACAGGCGCGTGCCACCATGCCCAGCTGATTTTGTATTTTTAGTAGAGACGGGGTTTCACCATGTTGACCAGGATGGTCTCGATCTCTTGACCTCGTGATCCACCCATCTGGGCCTCCCAAAGTGCTGGGATTTCAGGCTTGAGCCACCGCGTCCGGCCAGCAGTTGTACATATTTATGGGGTGCATGTAATATTTTGATAAGCACACAATGTGTAATTATCAAATCAGGGTAATTGGGATATTGATCACCTCATTTATCATGTCTTGGTGTTGGGTACATTCCACATCTTCTCTTCTGTTTTGAAGTATACAGTAAATTTTTGTTAACTGTAGACATTCTATTGTGCTATTGAACACTAAACCTTATGTATTTCTATCTTCTTCTATCTAACTGTATGTTTCCTCCCATTAACCAACCTCTCTTCACCCCCATCACCGCTTCCCAGCCTCTGGTAATCACCAGAATTCGTGTAGTTTATCTTTCTATCCCCTTAATGGGGTCGTTAGCAGAGCAAAAATTTAAAATTTGGATTAAGTCTAATATGTCATTTTTTCTTTTAAGGGTTGGGTTTTTGGTGTAAAGTCTAAACTCTCTTTGCTTAATCTAGATTGCAAAGATTTTTCCCTCTGTTTTCTTCTAAAAATTGTAATTATACACTTTACATTTAGGTCCATTATCTGTAATCCATTTGCTTTTAAGCCCTGATCTATAATTTTTATATATGACATGCGACTTAGATTGAGGTTCATGTTTTACCAGTGGATGTGCATTGCCAGGGTTCCAGTACGTTGGTTGGAAAGGTTATCTTTCCTCAAATTGCTTTTTTACCATTCTTTCCCTTTTTTTTGAAACATGATCTTGCTCTGTCTCCCAGCCCGAAGTGCAATGGTGCACGTCAGCCTTGCCGCCTAGACCTCCTGGGCTCAAGCAGTTCTCCTGCCTCGGCCTTCCAAGTAGTTGGGACTACAGATGTGTGCCAGCACACCTGGCTAATGTTTTGTTTTTTGTGAGACTGGGTCTTGCTATGTTGCCCAGGCTGGTCTTGAACTCCTGGGTTCAAGCAATCCTCCCACCTCAGCCTCTCAAAAGTGCTGGGATTACAGGTGTGAATCACCATGCCTAACCTGCTTTTTCACTTTCATCAAAACTCAATTGGGTATATTTGTGTAAGTCTATTCTTGGATTCTCTATTATGATCCATTGATTTTTATGTCTCTCCCTCCACTAATATTATACAGTTTTGAGTACTGTAACTATATAGTAAGTCTTAAAATTGTGCTCAATAATTCCTACCATTTTTTTATTCTTCTCCAAATTTATTTTAGCTATTTTAGTCCGTTTGCCTTTCTATATGAAT